CAGCTTTGAAGTCCATCTTGTAAGCTATCGAGGCAGTAATGAATCTTTGATCATTCTGAGAAATGGTACTCAGCATAAGTGTTTTGAAGAATTGGATTTGCTATTGTTGAACTAAATTGTGCCCTTCTGAGTAATACATAGCAACCTTCACAAGTGCAAAGAAAAGTATTTATTAAGTATCAGAATAGATAAAGACTATTTTGCTAGAGCAACATTTTATTGGCTGCAGTACAGGTTTGCAGACCTTTCTGTTCTTCAAACCACAGCTGTTAAGAACAAATATTGTAAATGAGAATAGCCCTTATTAAAATGTCACGGTTTGAAGTGTATATGGAAAGAATCATCTAATTATTTTTTTTTTACTTGTGTTCTTGCATAGCAGGGACTGGATGAAATGCAGCACGGCAACTTGGTCAAGCTATCAACTTGCCTTTGAACTAGTTCCCCATAAGGAAATATTTATTTCAACATTCAAGGATAGTTGAATTATCTGGCAAATATTCAACTTTATATTGTTTAGCTTTCTTTTTTCCATGTATGAACAGCAAAGCAAATGGTACATAATTTCTTTCTGTAGCAGTGCCTGAATTCTGGAACTTCAACGAGATATTTATCATAACAGAATTGTTCTTGCCTTACTCAATACATCCTTTGAAGAAATGACATTATTAGCATTGATACTCTAACAGCCTACCTTTTAAGCCATTGATATAACCCAGAAGTCACCAACTAGACAGCACTTGACCCCACCTCTGATATCTCCTTGTTTGGGAGGCTCAATCTGAAGACCCTTTTGAGATGCCTGTTCCCAGAAAATCATGTACATAAAAAGAAAGAGAATGAAATGAATGAGAACGAGAGAACGAAAGAGAACGTGATGTTGAGAGAATCAGACCAGGAAGAAAGAATGGAGGGAGGTCTATGGAGCATGTTGTGATGTGAGCCCCATGTCTGTGAATAGATGCATGAGATTCTGGACTAGCCTAAAGAGCAGTTCCAATAATAAAAAAGTCAGTTGATTTCTGGCATATCCAGGATGTTCTACATGGGTTGATATTGCTGTCATTATCTAATATCAAAAATGAATCAGCTCTATTTAATGCTCATTAGAGCTTTTGATTCATGCCTCCAAAAGTTCATTTATCCTGAGAAAAGTCCTTTCTGCAGTTGTGTATCCTGCATTCCATCTCAGGTAGTTGAGGCTCAGAAGTAGCCATTTCCTTGTGTCCAAATAGTAAAATTGTAGCTGAAATGAAGTTGGAATCAAAGAATCTCAGGCCTTCAACTCTCTCTCTCACACACACTTTTTTTAAAGTAGTTTTCAAGACTACGAATTGTTCGTGCTAAGGGCATAATTTTCCAGAGGAGAATGTTCTGCACCAGGAATATATGAACTGGGGTAAATATTGTTTGCAAGATCATTTGATCCCATACCAACTAGGCAAGGTTACTGGTGCCCTTCAGGAAATAAGAATGGCTGCAATTCCTCAGTGTTTCTCTGACTGAAGCCAGTATTTCTTTCTTCGCCTGCTAAAAATGTTTGTCAATAGGATTTGCAACCAACAACATAATAATGAAAATATTAGGATCTAAGGGATATTGTTGCATCCAATTGCAAATGGTCTCCCTCCAGATAGCACTTTGGAGGCATTGCCTGTTATAATAATTGCTTAAGCATCTCGTGTTAGCTTAGAAAAGGGATGTCACTTTTGAAACATAGCACAAGACAATTTATATGGCCAAATTATTATTTTTTCTTTTTAACTTTAAGAAATCACTGACATTTCCTGAGGAATACATTCAAATAGTTTAATGTTGTATATATTAAATGTAATCAGATGAAATGAAATGATTTGAATGTTGCTCCTTAGCATTAGGACTCTAAAAGCCACATGCATACCTTCCGCTCAGAAATACAAATACAGTCCTCATAACTTAAGAGGAAGAAATAAAGCAATAAAAGAGATATGGGGGTAAAAATATGGGCCAGCTAGGAATAAAGTGATAAGGGTCAGCCTGTCAAGAGTGGCAATATGGTTCTTTATATGTTTTTGAGTTCAAAGAGGCTTGTTTTGAGTAAATAGGCATGCTTAAATAGGAACGTATTGTCAATCTCTTTTGACAGGATTTTCATTGTTTGTGAGTCAATTATTGCTGTAAATGTAATTTGATTTTCTTAGGTATTTCTAGGAAATCCTGCACAGCAGTTTTCTCCAACAATGTGCCATTAAGATGTTCTGACTGTAGCTCTGGCTTTTGTTCTGGTTTTTGAAGATCATCCTGAATCTTGATTCAGGAAATTTGCTATCCTCCTTATCTTGATGTCATCCGTGAGGTTGATAATCTTGTTTGATAAGCATGATAACCTCGTGCATATTTTTTGCATACAGGAACAATGATGGCTGTACAATGGAGCCCTGTAATACTCCAGCTGACATCTCATTTTAGCTTGACACGGACCACTGACTAAGGGTTGTTATTGTAAGCCATCACATTCTTAGACAAAAATACAGTATATTTTACTACAGTTTGATACAATAATGCCCTTTGTTAGAAGTAATGGGTTTTGGCTAAAGGCAAGAAGGCTGTAAAATGTCTTCTCAATGTAGCTTATTGTATTTAATTTTTATGAGGACTCACAACCTTCTACTGGAGCGATATTGTAGGAATCAGTCTGTAGAGCTATGCATAAAACAGGATAGGTATATGAGCCACAATGAAACTGGAACAGCTGAAGAGATTTTGTTTATGCTTAAATGCTAATTATATGGGGAAAGAGAAAAAAATAGACTGTCTTAAACTCTGATGGATTGTTGATTACTAGTATCCATTGGGGGCATAAGGAAGCTAAATGTATTCACAGCCAGAATTGGCTGTTTTGTCATCTGCATTTGCCATAGAATGACATTTGAATGCTTTCCTCTGATAATGAACTGAGCAAAAATAATATCTTATGGATAGATATTGAGTTTCCTTACCCAGAATAAGACAAACGTAGCAGTTCTAAAACTGTCAAAAAGTAAGGCCAACTCATTTCCAGTCCTCCCTTCCTTTCATCTTTATTTATTTCCTTTCACGTCGTCCCCTACTGAATCTATTCTTCTACTTAGAAATTTAGGAGAGGGTAATAAAAGGGTTTGCTTAAGCCTATTCATTAGATATGGAGGCAATTCTTGCTTTAAATATCACATTTAACATTTCATAAGCCTTTATCCAGAGCATAATAATTATTCTCGTCCATTTGGGAGTTCATAGTGTTAATTAATGCTTCAGTTTTAGTGGTAGTGCCTTTCATTTTTAATGGGCTTACATATCCAAATGTGTAAGCCCATAAAAATGTTGATAGATTGTCTTGGTTTAAGAATAGCTTCATTGTATTCTGATGTAATTATAGATATGAACATAGCAATGTAAATGTAATGTTACACCCAAAAGTATGCAAAGGAAAGGTGGATGGAAAATAGACCTCTGCATAGATTAGAAACTTCTAAACTTGATCAAGAAGTTCAATCCTCTAAGTTGGGAATGGTAGTATCTCTGTATTTCTGACACATATATGGAACAAATGAACAAGCAGCTGAACAAATATGGACGTTTTGTGTACATCCATTTTTCCAGAGTTTTTAGAAATCTTTTGGGTTGCTGCCTCAGCTGTTATGCAATCAATTCAAGTCTTTGCAAGGGATTCTCATTGTAAAAATGAATGTTGTAAGCCAGGGGTATCAAACTCGCGATGTCACGTGACGTCGCGCAACTTATAGGGCCGGTTTTGCCATTGCAAAATGATGAAACCAGCCCGTGGGCCGGCAGTTTGACACCCCTGTTGTAAGCAGAATGGGAAATTGGAAAAAGTAGAAATAAGAGTATTTTTCTAGATATGAAATATCACTAGGATAAATAATCAAAGATTGAGCCTTATTCTCTCTGGTTTCTTCTTCTCATTATATTATGTTGTCTTATATGGAGGAGTATAAATAAAGTTTTCAGAAAGTAATGATTAAAGGCTAGCCACATGCAGTTAATTGCAGGATCTGAGAAAAGACAACAAAACAGCTAATAATTTTTTTAAAAAAATTGGAAGGTAATGGATAGTGCTAATAATTACCATCTTGCGCAACTGCAGCCTCAAAAACACCCAACACTAGCTTTCTGTCAAGACTTGAAACCATTTAAAAACCCTAATTTAACATTCTACAAATAGTACTGCTTCTATGAGAGGCAGGGGAGCCTTCAGACCCATTTTGAAGGCAGAAAAATACTGTTGATTAATTAACCACGGATAATAAAGATGATTTCCTTTTCATATCCCTCAACAATGCGAAGCGTGTAGGAAATCTTTTTGAAAACACAGGTGATGCTTTAAAATGTCTCGGGCAGAATAGCTGGAATTCATAAGAGCCACGGTAACCACGTAAGATTGATTTGCCTGTAATCATTAGGGTTAAAAAGTTATCCCACAAATGCACCCTGGCTTCTGATGAAATAATGAGAGGTTACTCATAATCATTTCTTCAGTTCTTGGTCTAAAGTTCGGGTGCTTTCCCCACTCACTAGAGGCCACTTTGGGTTGTTGTTGTTGTTGTTGTTGTTGTTGTGTGTGTGTGTGTGTTTTTAATAAAAAGACCAATGCCAAAACTTTATCAAATTTCCCAATAGAGACGTTTCCTCTGCAGCCCCCAGTGTAGATCTTAACGCTGTTCGCTCTGAAGCCGTCGCAAGTAAGGAGAGGACAACTTAATTTAAAGCACCATTTCGGTTCTCTTGCTTTCTGTTAGGAGTGCAGATGTCTGTCACCCCTCCCAATTAATCACGTCGGAAACAACGATCCGGGCAGTTTGTGCTTAATTTCCCCTCCTCTCAGAGGTCGCTTTGACCGCCTCTCGAGGCAGCAGGTGGGAACTTGGGAGCGCTGGGCGGGTCCACAGTCGCTTTTCTTTTCCAGTCGCCGCCGCGGGTCGGTTCAAAGGCCGGCGCCCCAAAGTTTGGCCGTCGTAAGCACCATGGACAGCGACCTCCTGCCCCGCTTGGACGTTGCAAGTTTCCAGAGCCTCTGGCAACGCTTCGACGCTGACGGTGAGTAAGAGGCGGGGGAGATGGGGGGGGGAGATGATGGGGCGAGGGCGCCGAGGGTCCTCGGGCAAAAACTTCTTTGGGATAAGCCTGTTTCGCTCTTCCGTAGGCTCCCCCCAAACGGGCCCTATGTTTGATTGAAATTTACGCTCTTGGGTTTCCCCCCCACCCTCTTGTCCTGAACTTTGTCTGTAACCGACGTGCTTCACTCTCGGATACAAGATGCCCTGTCAAGCTGCGAACGTTTTTGTCACTGGTTGAGGCAATTCATGGATGACCAGTTAGTTTGTTTACTCCTGAGTCGTTTTTAATGACTCATTACTCACAGGGAGATTTTTCACCCTCGCGCCGTCACTTTGCTGAACACCTAATTCTTGGAGTTTTGCCTAATGTCTATGTATATTAACCCACACGGCGTGGTTGTAGTATTATTTATCCTTCTTATTTACTTCTCCCTTTTATTGATGTTATTATTATTCTCTCTGTGGCTTTGCATGTACACTGAGTGCTTCGTTACCGGAGACAAATTATTTGTGTGGCGAATCACAGTTGGCCAAATAAAGTATCCAATTCAATTCATTTAAACAAGGTAAATAAGTCATACATTAATTACATACGTAGGAGGGAAAGGTTTTAGCAACAGAAAGGAACAAATCCGTGGCTTCTATGCATCTCAAGCTCCTTCGAAATATAGATTTGATCAATTTATGAAATAGGAATTGGTGATGTAAAGCATTGAGCTGGGGATCCATACACTAATATTGCATACTCAGTAATATAGCTTATTTTATTTTATTTTTAGACAATGGCTACATAGAAGGAAAAGAGCTTGATAACTTTTTCTGTCATCTGCTTGAGATCCTGGGCAGTAAAGTAAGTACTCCATCTTATCTGCATGTAAGGATGACACGAACGAAAGCTTGTCCAGCCTATTCCTGGCTGGATTAAATACAGCAGAGCTGAACATCTGTTCTGGAACTCAGTTGTTTACCATGAGCAGTTGGGAGGAGAGGCTGAATTCTTTTCTCCACCCATCCTCCACTGAAATGGCAGGCTGACTTGTTAAGACTCTCTGTGCAGAGCCTTGATTGTTCTATATACTATGCTTGATCATGATGAGGTTATTTAACCATTTCCTTACATGTACCTCCTACTGGTAATTCCTACCGCTAAAAATCATTTGCTGCCTCAGAGTCTACTTCAGTTCCTTTCAAACAGTCTCAATACTGATGGCTCTGTGTTGACTCTCCACATTTGCCACCAACTCAGTGGTCATATTTCAGGCATAAGGCACACCTGTCTTTTTCAGGAAACTGTACCACCTGTTCAGTTTGATTAATGAGGATGAACCAAGAGGCTTGTGTATCCATGGAGCGGATAAAGGAGGTTGTAAAGCAGGTGTTCTGAGGCCTGTGGAATCTGTAGGAACATTAGTTTTACAGATGTTGTATTCTGGGTTCCAAAATAATTAATATCGGATTTCTTTGGATTTATACTTGGATGCAAAGGTCTGTAAATAAGGTACTGCTTGGTTATTTTATTTCAACAAGTGAATTGTCCTTTTATTTTAGTGTTGATACACAGCCTCCCTCTATGGTCCATTTTGCCTGTCCTTGAAAATGCAGAATTTTAATTTAAAAAAAATTATAAAAGGCATTGGAAATACTTTTATTACACTAACTGCGTATTTATTTATACAATAGTGAACAGACTTTCCAATTTCTAATCATTGCTAACCAGGCAACGTTGAAAAGCAGAAATGAGGGAAAGCTAAATTTGGGGTGTGTGAATGGGTTTAAATCATGTCTGAACTAAGGCTCCACTTTATATGGAATATAAGAATAATTTGCAAATATGTAAACTGAAGTTACCAGGTACAGAAATAGGTTGTACTAAGAAACTTCCTCAAGGTTGCCTAAAATAAAAATAAATAAAAAAGGTTCCCAGCTGTTAAACTCTGAACCATTTATTAGAAGGCTAGCGTAAGCCTATGTATGTGATCAGTTATTCTAAATTGGTAACACTTTAATTTTAATGATAACTTTGTATTTCCATGTAATATCAAAAAGTAAAGGAAGACTATAGAGGGATAAATATTAACTGACGTAGTTCAATCAGTGGCTGAATTTTATTTTTTTCTTTAAAAGTGTGGACACGTTTCTAAATAGATGAACAGTAGGTTAGTCTCTCTGTTGCCCTCTCTGGAAGTATATATCCAATTTTATTTTTGACCTCTCTGTTTTCAGAGGCGAGATCTGCATGAAAACTGGCCATTTTAGTGGAGCACGTTTACCAAGCTTTGCATGAAATGAAATTTTATAGAAAGAACAATTTTCCGTTTGACTAAATGGAATTATAGTATCACTGCAGACATTTCCCCAGTCATGAAGGAGCCAGAATTACCAGGCTTCTTTTTTTCAATGCCTTAAGGTTTCTGGTAATCTTATTGCAATTGCAGGATCCTGGTTTGTTAGAATTTTGAGAAGATAGAAAAAGAAATTGACAGATGAAAGGAGAATACAACATTTCTTTCTCATTTACCAATTACATTATGAAGATAATTAATACTAACTAGTTGTGCTGGGAAAAAAGTTATGTTATACCTACCTTCTAAAAATTAAAATCCTGGCCTTGTTAAGAAAGGAAATGAAAGGTTTAGATTTCTGGGAACTGATTTTCTGAAATGGACAAGACAACCTTCCACAATACAATTATTTCCTATAGAAGCCACATTTGTGAAACAGCCAATCAGAGACCTGGCTGGTCATATGAACCCAGAACCTTGGACACAATATGGTTAAGTGGAGCATCTTATCCAACTTTGTATCTAAGGGGGGGTGGTTTACTTTATATATCTTGTCCAGAGCTTTTCATGTCGTCCAAATCCAGACAAAGGAGCTTTATTTATCAAATTTATTTAGTCAAATTTATAAATCAAATTTAAAAAGAGCTCACTTGACATTAATTCTTTCTTTAGTCAAGATGGGAGACGAAAGCAGCTGCAAAATGGAACCTTCTAATTGCTTTCCACCGTTTTTATTACCATTGCTATTCCACCATACTCAACCTGTAGGCACATAGGGTAGGTGAAATAGGCACAATGCACCACATTTTAACAGTTGGGCCACTGTGAGTTAAGACAAATCAGATGAGAAAAACAAGCTGCATGGGAAATAAGGCCATTGCAAAAGTAGTAGGGTGGTGGTAAAATAACCACTTCTGATATAATCGTGGTAGCCCTTGGTTTCTTAAGTAAACTGGCACCAAATCACAAGGTTAATTGGCCTACTTGAGGCTTGAGCTAGGTTGAGTCAGCTTCAAACATGGAATGTAAATAAGCCTGGAGAGAATACTTTTTAGGGCCACTTCAGTGATATTTCCAGAATTCATATCCAATTTTTTCAATTTAATTTATTAAATTCAATCCCCAAATCTTCCTGAAGATGCTTTCAGTCAAAGAATTTTTACCAAGATCCTTGGCATGATATTATGGCTCCATTAGTGTCTCTAATATTTTTCTTTGGTTTTTTCTTTTGAGAGTTATTTAGGATAGAAAAATTAGGATTACCAATTCTGAACTTTCTACTAATATTAACTGCAAAGACTAAACAGAGGGGAGGGCTCTAGGGGCAAAATAAATCATTTTTAATAACATTTTCTTGTCCCAACCAGTTCTGTCTTACAAATGAAGACATCTTCCCAGCCCATTAAATAAATATAACTAAGAACTTGGTGTGAATGAAGGCCAACAGCAGCTAAATAATTGGCAATTATGATTTCACGTTGATGGGTATAGGTGGATAGAGAAGTCAAATCCAGTGGTGGGATTCAAATATGTGAACAACCAGTTCTCTGTGTGGATGCCGCTTCCGGAAGTCCATTCTGGGCCTGGGCAACAAAAAATTAGCTACCAGTTCTACCAAAGTGGTGCGAACCAGCTGAATCCCACCACTGGCCAAATCCATACTAAATATCTGATTAACTTTGTGACCAATCTTAATAATTAGATAAATGGACAGGCTGGAAGAACATCTATAGGACAAAATCATTTATACAGGAAGGATTAAGTAAATTTCAACACACCTGATCTTGACCTATCTGTGCCAGTCAGTCTATCAGCTTGGGATATATGCTTCCTCTGCCATATCTATTTGGTGGGCCAGTCACATTTATGCATATTTTCAATATTGTTAACTGCAATAGACATTACCAATGGCTATAATCCTATAAGTGGAGAATGGAAGATCTCCTCTCTTCTTTACAGTGATCTATCTATTCAATCTAGGATTATTTTGTAGACTATTTTGGAAATATCAAAGTGATACAAACATGCTTTCCAGGGTTATTTGAGAAAGAATAATTAGCTTCTATTTCTGTGCTTTGAAAATTTAAAGGGCATCAAGCAAGCAAATAAATACTAATGTGTTCACTGAAAGTTATTTTTGTTTTAATAGCTAACAGTTTCATAATTATTATTTTTAACCTTTCCCTGTTGTTATTTTTTCCTAATGACCAATGGAGTCTCTGCTTGTTGGTATTTTTCCCATTTCACTACTCTAATCTGTTCTCATTTTGTGTAAGAAAAGCAACTCCAGCTGGGAAAACAATTTGTCAAGTGTGCAAAATGGGAAAAGAAACAATTGGGCGTAAGAAGACGAAATAGGGAATTGGGGGTGGTTTTTAATTGGCAAGATGCATCAAGGAATCTAGGAGTTAATTTTGAAATCTGGGTCCAGAGAAGAAATGGACTATTCACAACCCAGACATTCAGAAAGTCTCTTCTTGTGGTTTTCTATCTACATTTAGCAAAATTTCATTATATTTTCCTCAGGGTTGTTGAGGGCTCCCCCTCCATTAAAATAGCCAATCTTCCATTTTGAAAACTTGACAGCTGGACTCAGCTTTTCCTAGTTACTGTTTCCATGTACTTTAAAAGGAAAACTAGCTATTTGTTTTGAAATAAGAATAGTGGGTTAACCAGACAAATATTTTGCACGGCCTCACTAACAGTCTCACCCATTATTCAGAGTTCATAAAAAACACACAGGCTCGCTTCATCCAACATTCTGCATCAACTGTCAGCTAATTAAGTACACCTTGTGCAATATCTACCAATATGGAACTTCTGAGCTTTTGAACTCTGAACGTATAGATTAATCAAAACCACAATGCATTTTGTATTAATATAAACAATTTTTAACACTAATATAAGGCGTTACGTACAAAAATTTCTAGACAAATATGAAGGTATCATATTCGAGACAAAAAAACTGATGCCCATACTATGGACAACTTATGGGAGGAGTTAAAAGAGAGAGAAATAGGTTTCCTCAAGAATATCACACAACATGCATAACAGGAAGTTTAAGTAAAGAAAATTGCCTAAAGCAGGGGTGTCAAACTGCCGGCCCGCAAGCCAGATGCGTCATGGCAAAACCGCGCTGACCGCATTGCCGGCAATAGAAAAAAAGTTGTGATAAGTCGCGACATCACATGACGTTGTGAGTTTGATGGCTCTGGCCTAAAGAATAGCAGTACTAGAACTCAATCTCCTAGTTTCTAGTGTGGTGCCTTAAGCACTACAACAAACTGGTTCTTGACTAATGTTATTAGAAATCTAATTTTGTAATTAGAATTAGCTAGATATAATAATATGGTTTAAAATATTGCTTGCAAACAGTAACATTGCTAACTTGTTGATGAAATGTGTTTTAAGTAAAGAATTAATATTTGCTTCAAGTTAGATAAACCAACACATACATGCACATGCATTCAAGGATAAATTCTTAGTTGGCTATATACCTTGGAGTTAAAACATATGAGCTATTAATTACTTAGCAATTTTATAAAAAAGGAAGCTGATGAGTTCAGCTGAATATGTTCTATTCTGTTATCCTTTTATAATATAATTTTCAAAACCTTAAATGATCTTGAACTTCTTTTATAGTTTCCATTTGGAAAGTCAAGTTGGAAATTTAAATTATAATCACAGGTGATATTTTTAAAAATCAACCATGGAAATCAACCCACTTCTTTGTTCTACTTTCTGTAAGATCCTTCATTTGAGATAAAAATATCTGGAGATATTGGGGTTTTCAAAATCTTGTTTCCATATTTCTTGGAGCATAGGCAAGTTTTAGCAATAGATAATACTCTGGTTTTGATGTTCTCTTGAATAATTTAAAGGCCATGTATCACATATTTGGATTGGCTTAATTCATTTCTGTTACCCTTTTGTCATCCAGGATATTCTATTAATCAACAATTCTCAACTATTGCTATCCAATGCACTGGGCATAGCACCAAAGTAAATGGGTCCATGGGTCTCCAGTGGAGGGCTCATGGGCAAATGATGACATGTGTCCAATGGCATCACACAAATGCTGCGACTTGTGCCAGCTGTTGGGAAGCAAGTTTGTAGCTGTGGCATTTAAGTCACGGTATTATTTTTGACATCATCACGGTCTGCTGTGGATACCACCAATCTCCAAGGTCACTTCCAATCCTTACATTCAATGATTCTATGACATGAAGGAGGGGCTATAAAAATATGCCTTAGAATGTGGATCCTTGTGGCCTCCTTGTGTTTGCATGACTTCAAGTCATACACTTTTAAAGTTGCTCCAAAAAAATTCTGCCTAGGATGAAGTTCACCTGATTTTGCCATCAAATATCTTCAGGTTGAGGACAGGAAGCTGCCATTTTCTGATGGCAAGACTATGATCACTGAAGAGCAGAATCCTCAGTGACAATCTCCTCTCCTCCAGCCTGAAGAAAACTGTCTGCAAAATAAAAAAAAACACTTTTAATATGCCAGCCAGCCACTCCGTGGTATAGTGGTAGATAAGACTACGCTATAACTCATTGCTATTTCAGTTCACTACAGAAGGGGTCCCCAATCTCCGGACTGTGGCTCAATACTGGGTCATGGCCAGTTCGGAACCGGGTCGTGCAAGCTGCTGGCCTGTGCACACATGTGCGCAGCTTGACCTGGGCAAGAAGCAGGCCAGAGCACACAAACACAGCTCAACTTGAACGAAAGGTGAGCTGGTTCCCCTCTTTCTCCCTGCCAGGCCACCAAGCCATAAAGATTGGGGACTGCTGCATTACATAACATTTTTTATGGTTTTCCAAAAAGGGAGAATGTTTTTGAGTTCAACTACATAAAAGGATCTCTCACTTAAACAGCCTGACCTGATTTCTACATATTTAAGGCAATATTAGCCTTCTAGATTTGAATGGAATTTTCTATGCATAGCCTTCATCCCGAAATATAACTAGCTCCTCCCACAAGCCTCTGGTAACTGTAAAATAGGAAAATAATAAACATAGATTTTTTTTGATCTGGTCTAATTTCAAAGGCGGGCCCTGCCAAGCAAAATCAGTGTTAATTACAGTACTGTGTCCTTATGCAGCCAATCTTTTCAATGAACTATCTACTGCTTTATATAATTCTCACATAAATTTTATAAAGCTCTCAGAAACTTCCAAGAATTCACATGTGGGACATCAAATATAATTATTTTCCAAACATTCCAGTAATGTTTAAATTTACTCAGATGTCTGCAGGCACATACCATAGTTGCTTTGGAGACAAAATGCAAACACCGTTTGTTGGTGTCGGGATTTCAGATTCTATCTTGGAAAGAGACTGAGTATAACTTTACTCTATTTATCAATAAAATACCATCAAAGTCTTGGAAGTCTAATTATTAATTCTGAACACTAAAAAATGTGCAACATGCAATATCTTGGGGGGTTAGTCTGTGAAAAAATGGAAAGGATTTAGACTGCAGGTAATCCTTGACATAACCATTCATTTTTTAACCGTTTGAAGTTTCAATGGCATTGAAACAGTAACTTAGGACTGTTTTTCACACTTAATGACTGTTGCAGCATCCCCGTGGTCACATGATCAAAATTTGGATGTTTGGCAACTGGCATGTATTTATGATGGTTGCAGTATCATAGGATCACATTTTGTGACCTTCCAACAAGCAAAGTCGATGGGGAAGCCAGATTCATTTAACAACTGTGTTACTAACTTAACCACTGTAGTGATTCACTTAACGGTGGCAAGAGAGGTCATAAAATGGGGCAAAACTCACTTAACAACTGTCTTGCTTAGCAGTGTTAATTTTGGGATCAACTATGGTCATAAGTCGAGGACTACCTGTAATTGCAGAGGCTGTGATTCTCTACAACTTCTTATTCTGTACTACACCTGTGGATATATGGCTGCGTGCTGCTCCTCCATTTATAAATGCCTACAAGACAAGATAGCAAGTATATTTAATTGAGAATCTTTCCTAGAAGAGTAGATTAAATTTATTTTTAGACTTAAAGTTGCTGTAATCCTTTTTTTTTCAGTACAGAGTGCCAATTGGAACTCTTCCATGGGTGATCTTAAAGAAACATAAAAAGGCCATAATATTGTATGAATGTTGTATAATGTTGTATCAGAATTACAACTGGAGCCATAGTCCTATCACCTTTAGCCCATTAGGTTTGTTTTTTTTGTGACAGAGCACCATTACAGAAGAAGAGCTTCAGAGGGTGAAAAAACAATTAATGTCAACCTTCAGTGTGACTGATGATGGACGCTTACAAATACAAGAGGTATCTACCTCTTTTCTTCTCTTGGGACTTTAGAAAATGTAGCATAGAGCAGGGGTCCCCAACCCCCGGTCCATGGACCGGTACTGGGCCACGGCATGCCAGCAATCAGGCCGCACAAACAAACAAAGCCCCATCCATGGGATGCAGGCAGCACACAAAACCACGCACTCTCCGGTCCATGGAAAAACCTCTCATCATGTAACCGGTCCCTGGTGCCCAAAAGGTTGGGGACCTCTGGCATAGAGAATTGAACACTCCCAAGTGCCAGTTTTAATACAAGGAATTTGTTGTATCTTAGATGTTGCTGCTGTTTTCTTATTTCAGCTATGCCTGATTCCTATTTTTGGAAATAATCCTAGCAGGAGTGTTCATAAGATGTGGTCAAAAAAGTAAAGATGGCAGTCACAGTGATATGAACTCTGCCCACATTTTATGTGTGTCGCTCATGTGATACCAATAAAAAAACAGGTAGAGCTTCAAACTCCTCATTGTGGGTGTCATCTTGATTTTTGACCAAACTCAAGCAGCCCTGAGTCCTGTAAACATATAGCCAAGGGGCATTGTGGAGATGGGGGGGAGGGATAAAAAAGGTTTAAAAAATCAAGATGATGTTTGCATGATTGAAGGCCCATTCTTTTTTCACATGTGCCACAAGTGTGAGACATATTCAAAAGGACAGGGGAAGCCCTCTTAACCTTTTTTTGACCCTGGTACAGATTGAGGACTCTGATTATTAAACAATAATAATTTATGTTATTTTAGCTTGCAAATATGATTTTGACTGAGGAAGACAACTTTCTGCTACTTTTCCAAAGAGAAACTCCTTTGAATAACAGTGTGGAGTTCATGCGGGTGGGTAAGAGTTCTTGCTGCATGTTCTGTTTTTGAAGTAACAACTGTCGTTGATTTTTATTTCACTCATTCCAGTGCCTCAAATAAAGTAAGTACTGGAGGATTGGGTTTTTAAAGTACAGTGTATTTCTGAGATGAGAGGAGCTAAACCTCTTTTTTTGGTACTGAAAAGTAAATTTATCAGGGACAAATTTATCAGTCCTTGATTTACAACAGTTCATTTTGTGACTGTTCAAAGTTACAACGGCACTGAAAAAAGTGACCTGTGACCATTTTTCACAGTTATAATCTTTGCAGCATCCCTATGATCAAAATGTGATCAAAATTCAGATGCTTGGCAACTGGTTCATACTTATGACCACTGCTGAGTCCCAAGGTCAAGTGATCCCTTTTTGCAACCTTCTGACAAGCAAAATCAATGGGGAAGCCAGATTCACCTAACAACTGGATAATAACTTGTCAACTGCAGTGAGTCACTTAACAACTGTGGCAAAAAAGGTCGTAAAATGGGGCAAAACTCACTTAACAAATGTCTTACTTAACAACAGAAATTTTGGGCTCAATTGTAGTCGTAAGTTGAGGACTACCTGCATAGTGTTATTGAAAAGCAGGGAGGTAAATCATATGTGGGCATGGAATATTAGCATCTTTTCTTCTACAAAATTTCCTTGAGATGCATCTTGAACTGTAGACCCAGCTCTTTTTGTGTTCTGTAATACATATTATCTCTTATTTGTGTGTGGTTTGCTGTGAAAGTGACAACATACGCTTCTTGACACAGGTAATTATATAATTATAATATCACAACCTAGCCTAGCCTACACTTCCCTACCCTACCCTACCATACCATACCTTATCATACCATACCATGCTATACCATACCATACCATACCATACCATACCATACCATACCCTCCCATACTCCTTTCTGTAGCTGCTTATTCAGTTCACAAATTACTACCTTATCTTTCTTTGAAGCAAATACAACCACAAAAGGGCTGTGTGTTTTGAACTGTGCAAATGTCAGCCTTTGGCTTAACAAGCTACCGATATCAGAAGGTTTAATGGATAACTCAGGTTTACTTCACATAGGAAGAAATAAAAGCTGCACCATCTCCCCTATTTTTCCATGTAGTTTTATGGTCAGATTTCTCTTACGAAAAACATCTTAGCAACATGTTTGCCCTGTGCGCCATATACTCTTACATAAAAAAAAAATAACTAGTAAACGAGTTTTTGGTCAATAAACTGAGAAAGACTCAACAGCTTTTATCACATCACCAAGAAGATGCACAACTTAGCCAGCTTTTGTATGACTCCTGAGAAGTGTAGATTGTCCTAGTAGTTCAGAAATTATTATCATTTCTTATCCTATGAAGATAATTCTACACCTGGTTAGAACAGATTTTATGGCTTATCAGTTTCAGCCTCAAAATGCAGTTTGAGATAAGCTATGTTGTTTGCACAGCAATATCCCGGCCTGGATGAGCAATCATGGAAACCACACGTCCAGACTGAACTAGCCTGTCTATAATCTGACCTCTTTTCGGGTGGAAAAAACCCCCAGTTATACAGGGAATATTCCAACCAGTTTGCAGAATCCTATATCTCTAGATCTTTCAGGAATGAACATCAATTTTGTGTTGTCACTGCTGAAATAAGCCATATGTGTGCATGTGTGAGATTGCATGTCTGCAGGTACAAGTGTGCACAGTAACACAAACAAGTGAGGCCTGTAATAAAATGGGATAGTGTGTAGAGTATGTCGTGGACAAAGTAAATGTGGCAAATAAAATGGAGGCTGCACCCTTTTCTTCCCTGTCTTTGAGATGTGACCAGGATCAAACCTACTTTATTTCTTTGCCTAATCCTATCAGGCCAAAAGTGACCCTCCCTGCCCCCAGACAAAGCCTCTTGCAATCCCATCTAAACCGAAGAACAGAAGTCTCTGTTGACAATGAAATCTGAGGGAAGCCCTCATAAGGGAATGACACACAGAGAAACTGCAACCATCCCTCTTCAATAAGGGACACCACTCATTTGGTCAATATGCCAAGTCCTGAACAATGGGCTTCCCCAGAAGTGATTTGTCACATTCCTTGGCTATAGGACCCTCCCTGATCTAACAAACAGTGTGCATGAAATATTTCCTTTCCAAACCATTATGAGAAGAAAGGCTGGATATGGTAGTATAGGTAGTCCTCAACTTATAACAGTTCATTTAGTGACCGCTCAAAGTTACAACGGCCTTGAAAAAAGGGACATGATTGTTTTTCACATTTACGACCATGGCAGCATCCCCATGGTCACATGATCAAACTTCAGATGCTTGGCAACTGACTCATATTTATGACAGTGGCAGTGTCCCGGGGATCGTGGGATTCCCCTTTTGCAACTTTCTGACAAGCAAAGTCAATGGGCAAGCCTGATTCGTTTAACAACCGTGTTACTGACTTAACAACTGCAGTGATTCACTTAACAACTGTGGCAAGCAAGGGCATAAAATGAGGCAAAACTCACTTAACAACTGTCCCACTTAGCAACAAAAATCTTGGGCTCAATTGTGGTCATTTGAGGACTACCTGAATATATAACCTTCTTTCTCAAATTCTTTCTTGTGATTTGGCGACTAAGCAATATAGACAGTTCCATGAAACTCATCTAATGAACCAGATGAACAGAACATGTTCTATGTTACTTATTTTGCTTTTTAGTGGTACAACCACTTCCTCGGGCTTCTGTATTCTGAACCAGTAGCATTGTAACGGTCCTGAGAGAAATCTACCAAAGGATTTATCAGTGAGGTTAGGGTGTTAATTCGAGAACATGTCTTGTAAAATATCACATTTTTTTCTTTTCTACAGATTTGGCGTCATTATGATGCTGACAGCAGTGGCTTTATTTCAGCCGGTGAACTCCGAGTAAGTTCTGGGCTTGCTGGAACTTTATCCAGATACTGCTTTTGTTATTAGTTATTCTTTGATTACCTTTGCGCATTACCTGTACTAAGCACAGTTCCAGGTAAGCCACCTTTCCCAAGGGTGGCTAGAAGCTGCAATTAAATTTCCTTGGGGGGGTGGTGGCAATTGTGGATGGGAATAAGACCCAAAACGAATAGGCCCACAATGTGCATATAGACAATATTTGCGGGTTAATTTATTATTTCTTTCCCCTTTTTAGAGGAGCTATTTTCTCTTTAAAATAGTGGAAACCTGCTATGCCTATTTTCAACTACAGAGACAGAAATACCTCTGGAAGCCAAAACGAAGTTGGCCATCCATAAATTATGCTTGAGACTTATAGGAATCAAGTTCTTGAGTCATGCATATTGTTCTAGGACCGGGGTAGGCAACCTTGGCTCTTTTATGACTTGTGGACTTCAACTCCCAGAATTCCTGAACCAGCTGGCTCAGGAATTCTGGGAGTTGAAGTCCACGAGTCATAAAAGGGCCAAGGTTGCCTACCCCTGTCTAGGATGAAGCTGAAACATAACTTCTACTCTCTTTCCTGAACTTAGGACTTTCTGCAAGATCTGTTTCGGCAGCATGGAAAAAACGTTTCCGAGGCAAAACTGCAAGAATATACTGATACCATGGTAAACTGAAATTTCTTAGTATTATAGTAATTCCTAAATCTCTGAAGCAGCCTGAAGATTTTTACACTATTTGGATGTGTGTAGCAGAAGATGAAAAAAAAATATCATACACAAAGCATATAGGATTTAAGGCTCATTTCAAACAGCAATCTTCTACCTTCAGAAATATAATGCAAAGAAAAAAATGGAAACGGTAGAGCAAGAGCAAAGAGAAAATGAAGTAAGGAGAGCTCTGAGAAGGGGGTTGAACTAGATGACCTCACAAGAACCTTCCAATTCTGGAACTCTATATCAGTGGTTTTGGGTAAGGAAGGAAAAAGCTTGGGAAGTCCTGTTTTAAGGAGGCAGAAAGCTTGCTAAGATGTTGAGGAGGGATGCTCATATTCTTGTTCCAAATCAAAAACATTCTTTCAGCTTTTGGGGCTGTGACAACAGCTTGAAAGTGTAAAGGGCGAATGCCTTGCAAATGTCAGCAACCAAAAGTAAATTTTCAGATGCAGGGTATTAATTCAGGCTGACTCTGCAACCACATTAGTCCAATGTTATTATTATTATTTCATCTTTATTGGCTGCCAGTTTATTTCCATGCTCAGTTTAAACTGCTGGTTTGGTGTTTATAGTGCTAACAGCACAATATATCTACTTAGCCTTAAAAGCCACTAATTTCAATGATTTTATATTCAAGTTAAGTGCATATAGATTACCATCTAAATGGCCTAAGCATTTCCATTTCAATATTTCTTATAATCTATTTTAAAAAAAGCTCACTCAGGAATACTTACCCCAAAGACATGTCTAGTTTGTTTAGTCCTAGTTTTTTTTCTTCTTCATTATGTTTTCTTTCCACGCATCTAGCAATTTTTGAGATATTTTATCTCAATTATGTTGAACTCATTTTAAATATTATATACATAAAAAGTTTAGTGGATTAAGGACTAGGATTATTAGCACACAGAGAGAAGAAGTCCCGAGTATCTTTTATTACGTTTCACTTCCAGAAACAGAACAAACCTGTAAATAACAATGGATTAAATGGCAAATTTTAAACTGGGCAGGCAAACTTTTCAGACCTAAAGGCCATACACAGCAGCATGCAAACACATAGATAACCCAGTCCTTTGCTAAGATCATTGGAGGAGACTTTTCTTCTCATGTTTCAGTAAGATGCATTTGGTGATAATTCAAAAGATAGTCTTTTTAGTAGTGGGCCACTTGGAGATCCAGCAATAGTGTTGCTGGCATGCCTTAGCAAACCTTTACATGTCAGTGGGATCGAAGGATGATGAACAAAGCCATAGTGCCATCATCCTAGGAGTGATCAGAAAAAGTTTAGCCAGTGAACTAAAAGGACCAAGTTAACATGCTACAAGTCTATCACCCAGCACTCACCATGGGGGCATCATGTCCTCTAAGCACGATGCGAAGCTGTGCAAATCCTCTTTTTATTTGTGGCTAGCTAACCATGTACATTGTCCATATTGAGTGGGTGGGAGTTGAGAGTATTTTGAGGGTGCTAATTGGCTGATGATTTGCCAAAACATGTATTTCCCCCAATGTCAATGTAACTTGTGTAATGGCAATCAAAGAGAGTCTTATCACATTAATTAATATATATCCCTAAAAAAAGGAAACTTAATTTGTAGTTAGTTCATCCTTGCTGATGTTGATGAAGATTCTCAGCCATCCAGGTAGAATTGTATCATTGCTGATCTTTCTAATACAGCTCTCTATTGTCTCTGTATAGCAGTGCAGTTCTCTATAAATGCTGTCTCCATTAATTTGAGCATCCAGCCTTATAAGCCATCCTGATATATTTGATGGCCAAGTAGTTGCTAACTCTATGGTATGACCTGGTAGCATTCTGCAATTCACAAAGCTACATTTGCCATGTGCAAGGAAAGCTCATTACTAGCAAATTCATCTGCAAATCACACCACCTACCCTGCCAAAATAATCATTGAGATTATTATTCATTGGCTAAAATAGCAAGTCATGATAATATCTATCCAGCTGTCAGCCATGGGCTTTCATTTCCAGTGGACAATATGCTTCCATCAGATATAGGAGCACCTTTTACCCATGTGCAATTTAAAGAAAGCGCTATAGATTAATTCTCAGCTACCTGGATGATGAGAACGTTTCCCATATTTGTCCAAATAGTTGATGAGCAATTGAGTTTATCAGATCCCTGCTCCCAAAAAAATAGTTTTGAACGATAAATTGTTTGGGTCCTACATAATCCATAGCAACATCTATTTAGCTTTTCTTTTAAAATTATTCCAGTGCAGTAGGAGAGCACATCCTATGTACTTTAATACATTAAGCCCATCAAAAAAAATTTGAGAAGAGTTTTCAAAGAAAAAGAAAGGGTACATTAGAAAACAATTGTGCTCTTTGGGGCATGATGCTAAAGCACAGTTTAGCTAGCAGTTAAGGCATCAGGCTAGAAACTGGGAAACTGTGCAGAGTCCTTGCCTTAGGCATGAAAGCTAGCTGCGTAACTTTGGGCCAATTTCTCAGCCCAACCATGTCACAAGGTTGTTGTTGTTGTAGGGAATATGGAAGGAGGAAGGAGTATTAGGTACATTTGCCACCTTGAGTTATTTATAAAAATAATAAAGATGGGATATAAATGATAAGGCAGGGCGCGGTGGCCTAGCAGGTAAGATGCTGGACTTGTCAACCGGAAGATTGGTAGTTTGAGACTCAAGTGCCATGTGACAGGGTGAGCTTCCATTCTTGCCCCAGCTCCTGTCAGTCCAAAAGCTTGCAAATGCAAGTAGATAAATAGGCACCATTTCAGTGGGAAGGCAAGTGTTCCATGGGCTTCAGCGTACAGTCATGCCGGCCCCATGACCACAAAAGCTTCTTCGGACAAAGCTGTCTCCCTTGGCTAAGAAACTGAGATGAGCAGGCCCCCTAGAGTCAGAGATGACTGGATAGAGGAAACCTTTACCTTTTTAGAAATACTTAATAAAAATAAAAAGGAACCCGGCCTCTCTGCAGGCTACATGTTTTTCTTATTGCACTGGTATGTGACTTTTGCTTTCAGCTCAGTTCAGCCACATGTTGCAGTAATGACACCATTCACAAACCTAAATAAACCTCAGGGAGAAGAAAGGACATGTCATGAGTAAAATTAACTGTTTATCAACAATTACCTATTTCAGTATTGTAAAAAAGAAGCAAAGGCTTTTGGGCTTGCCAGAAGAAGAGAAGGGCAAAGAAACGATGTAAACTGTAGAAGAAGCTAAGCTCATCCTTGCAGTAGCAAATCATGATTCATACCATGGAACTGGGTGATGATCTCAGACAATGAGCCAGGTGCAAGGAAAGATACAATAAAACTCTAATTCATGCAGTGCTGGTATGATTTTATACGAGATTGCTGAAATGTCCTGCTAGAAATAGCCAAAGTCTTGTAATATCTCGTTATCTCATACGATTTAGGCATTTTCATAGGACAGCAAGTGAGTTTTCTCATTACCCTTTTGAAGATTTGGCAATGCCCTTGGGCATCTGGTGAGCAGGCACGGCATCACCAACCCCTAGTTTTCTGTCTTGGCAATGCCATTCTGATTACTGTTAAAAATTCCTCACGTGTCAATTCCAATAGATCAATGAAGGCGCCAACAGAAAACAGAGTTGCTCTCCCAGTTCAGTCAGGCATCTCAATTAGTCATCTTTTGTGAAATGAGGTCAGCTGTATCCTTACGTTGTGGTTAATAGCTGAGGTATGGAATGCTGGGAGTTGAAGTCCACAAGTCTTAAAGTTGCCAAGCCTGCCACCCCTAGCCTACATTGTGCACTCTTCTGACAAAAACTAATTCATATACTGTAGGAGTACAGGGTACTGAGTGTGAGATGGTACTAATCTTCTAAGCCACTGAGCCTGAAGATTAAAGGATAGAAAGATGAGATACTATGCAACATATGGATACGTTCACATTTTCCCCCAGGTTTTTTTTTTCAGCTTTCCTAATGGTAGCATTAATAAAGTAAAGATTAAACACTATCCCAGTTTTGAATATTTTAGAACTGGAGCTAAGCTGTGCAGTTTGCCAAATCACCTTCCCACATATAAAAAATTAAATCCAGCTTCTCAACCTTCTTTTATTATAGTTTATTCCATTCACTATTGCCTTCACTCTTTCTTCCTTTTATTCTGAAAAAGCATTGCCCTTCCCCCCCCTTTTTGTTGTTTTGTGATATAATAGCAGGAAAAGGGCAAAAAGGGTGGGGCAAAAAGTAAACCAACCAGCAAGAACGAAAATGATAAGAATACAGTTAAGTGAAATTAGAATATACTTCAGAGCACAGAGAAAGCTTTTTACATTAATAGATTTTGATACCAAGAGGCTGAAATTTCTTAATTAAATCTGATTTTTACAAGACAAAGCTTTTTAGTAGTCTCAAATGTTTCTAGACGGCTCAGCAAGATGATGGATAAGCACCATTTTTCTGATGGCCTATGACAGGGTTCTCCAAACTTGGCAACTTGAAGACTTGTAGATTTCAATTCCCGGAATTCCTCAACCAACCATGCTGAAGTTTACAAGTCTTTAAGTTGCCAAGTTTGGAGATCCCTGACCTATGGTTTCCAAGAACAAGTTCAGAAGACCTGCTCCTGCAAACTTCTCCCCAGTAGTTCCCCCCAGTGCACTAGAACTGCTTCCATCAGAAATGTTGGCCTGTAGAACTTTTGGCCATGCTGGTAGAAATGTCTGGGAATTGTAGTTTCAGTACCTAAGGATGCATGTCTGGGACAAGATGCTGTTGACATCTTAGGCCTGTAGTATTTACATAGGTACTTACCCATGACTCCCAAACAATACATAATAAAGTCTTACCATAAGGATGTCAAATGCAAAAGCCTACATTTTAAGCACTCCCTCATCAATTTTTCCTTTATGACTTACATTTAATTCTTGATTTGTCCCTACAGTTTGTTAAGGCTGATCAAATTATCTTATCCTAAAATTACATTCTTCAGATTTTTAGCCTATCTCATCCTCAAAGGCTTTTGGGCTGCAGGTTTATACATGCTTTCCAGGGACCAAACACTATTGAAGGTAGTAGCACCTTGTTTTGAATCAACCTAGACTAAAAAAAACACCACATTCCATCAGTGGTTAGGAAAAAGTTGGAAAGTGGGAGAAAAGAGGTAAATATTTTGCTTATGTATTCAATGCCTGTAGCTGAAAGAAGAGTCACAAAACGTTCTTTTAAAGTTGTGACTTGAACAGTCCAAATATCCCTGGGAGAAATCTATGATGGACTTAGGAACACCTTTGGATCACAACATAATTCTGCCTGCTGTAACTCAAAGTAATTTGAATGTATTATTCTGATTAGTAAAATACTATTGGTTTGGGGTGTTGGGTTTTTCCCCCCTAGCTCTCCTAGTGTTAATCATTTCACTTCCACTATTTGCTTTGTAGATGAAGCTCTTTGACAAAAATAAAGATGGCCGGCTGGATCTGAATGACCTCGCAAGGTAAATATTTGATTCGCTTGGAGTGGCTTCAGTAGCTTACTTCTCCACTGAGTCACTCTGCCCCCAAACCAATCTTGGTTGTATTTACACCTGTTGTGCTAAAAGCTGAAGGCTCAGGACTTGCTTTTCCTGGAAGCAAGGTGACAATGCACCACATCACAAACTACTGCTTCCAGAAATGTCTGCTAACTTCCTGTGAAATTTCCTCTCTTTCTGAGCTCTGTCAAGCACAACTGTCTATTTCTGTGGAAATGAAGTCTCAGAAAATAATGGTTTAACTCTTTTCATTCAGGATTTTAGCTCTTCAGGAAAATTTTCTCCTTCAATTTAAACTGGATGTAAGTACAGTAATTTGCAGGGAACTTGATTGTTCCTTTTTTTCTGTATATAGTTTTTTTTTTCAAAATTAATTCCTGTTCTTTGATTCAGGCTTCGAGTGCAGAAGAAAGAAAAAGAGATTTTGAGAAAATCTTTGCACACTATGATGTTGTAAGAGTTTTATTATTAATATTTGGGATTACTGACCCTGCAATACACCAAATGATAGTTGCCTGTTTTATGAATGCTGTTCTTTATTGGAAGACATTTCAAATACTCTGCATCTAGTTTAAAGATAAGTTAAAGATAATCTATGAAGGGGAAATAACTCCTTGAACTTGTCCATCATTAATTAGTCCTATTTAGGCATGCAAATCATGGGTGTCTGTGGGTGTCCTCATCCAAATGGCTCAGTAATGTAATTTGCATTGAATTTACATAATTCACCTTATTTGCATAATCATTACTCAGGTGACATTATTGTGACCTGTACCAGACAGTTAAACTACATGTCACCTGGTTATAATTCTTCACACAGTGTAGAAATGGATATTGCTTTATTTAAATTATAATAATTATTTTTAAATATGTGTGCATACAAATCCATGTTCTCTGTGGCAACATAGTGACCAATGTTACATGTCACCCCATTCATATTTAAAATAATTGTAGGGATTATTATAGCTGTTTTGCTGGGCAAATGGGTCAACAGGGCATTATCCAGATAAATACTGCTCTTGGTGGAAGGCATTTTCTGCCTTCCATTTCTTAAAATGCCCAAAAAACATTTTTTTTATTTGTTAGAGATGTCAAAACTTTTCAAAGAGGTATTTAGCAACAAGCATGAGTGTGTATCTATTTTGTAATCATTAAAGCAAGAGTATTTTTATTTATTTTTTTGACAAGGATCATGAGTTACTTCAGAAGCCGATCCTGACCATCTTCCATTCATAGTAATTTTTGTCCTCTAGGTCCTCTAGGTACAAATGCAGATAATTCTGGTCTCTAAATGTAATAAATTTTAACCAGGTACAGATGAAGACTATAGGCCAGTGATGGCGAACCTTTTAGAGACCGAGTACCCAGTGCAACTCAAAACCCACTTATGCATTGTCAAGTGCCGGGTGGGTGTGGCCCATTGGCTGGGTGTGGCCCATTGGGTGGGCGTGGCTGCGGTGGTAATGGCAGACTGGGTGGGGCTAAAAAGTTCAATCAATCAATTCCAACTTTGCAAGATCTTTTTTTTCCCGTGAGAAGTTGAAATTGACTGATTGAACCTTTTTTTTTTTTGCACACGGCGGCGGAGGCCTAAGGTGAAAAGGTTTTATAAAACCCAGCTGAAGGCCTAGAACTGGGGCGACGGCGCACGTGCCCACAGAGAGGGCTCTGAGTGCCCCCGTTGGCACCCGTGCCATAGGTTCGCCACCACTGCTATAGGCAGAGGAAAGCTTCTCTATCTATGAAGGTTTCCTATGTCATATTTCATTTCATTTTTATGGGCAGGAATTGCACAAAGAATCTCCATGGATAGATGAAGATCTCTAGCTTTCAAAGCCAACTGTGTACAATAAGAAGCAGACCAATAGAATTATGTAAAGGAGGCCAGCATACTTGCTTCCTCCTTTTATTTGCGCAGATGACACATATTTAATGTGCTTGTAGAAAGTGTATAACTCTCATTGATCTGGTCCATGTGGTAGAAAAAGCTTGATGTTCATATCCCATTAGTCTCTAATATGCCACAGCTCTTGTGAGAGTTATGAGTCTACTTCAGGGGTCTTCAAAGTTGGCCCATTTATGACTTGTGGACTTCAACTCCCAGAATTCCTCAGCCAGCATGCCTGGCTGAGGAATTCTGGGAGTTGAAGTCCACAAGTCATAAAAGGGCCAAGTTTGAAGACCCCTGGTCTACTTGTTCCCAAAGCTGAGAGGACAGGAATAAGGCCGTAATTTTTTTCCTATGGATTCTGGTAATTTTCTTTTTTCTTTCCCATGAGATCCTTCTTATTGTTTAATTTGGCACAAAATATCTACAAGGATATAGCTTTTAAGATTGAGTATATTATTGCCAGGAAGAGAAGAAAAGTATGCGGATAGATATGTCAACATTTTTACTCCACAAATTTATATTCCAGAGTAAGACAGGAGCTCTTGAAGGTCCAGAAGTTGATGGGTTTGTAAAAGATATGATGGAACTTGTCAAGGTAAGTTCACTGTTTTTTATGTTATGACTGAACAAAATAAGCTGCTTACATTTTCTCCTTTATGGGAAATGAAGAAGAGAAGAATGGGAAATTGTGATGTAACATGAAGAACTTTTGCATACACTACAGCTTGTCTTGTTCAAATTATCAATACTTCCTCAATTATTGCCCTTCCCCATCCTTCCTCCCAGACATAAATATTTGCTGGTAATGTACTAACCATGTATTTCAGCTCCATAGAACACATTTCTTCCAATCTTCCCCAATCTGATAACTTCCTTTATGCTGGATTACATCTGCCATTACCCTCAAAGATCAAGCAATTACCTAGCTCAGTTAGGGATAATAGTAGTTAAGGTTCAAAACATCTCAAAGAGCCACAATTTAAGGTCTGTTTCATGTTATGTTTTTTTTTTAATTAAATCTCTTACCCTGGAATACAACTCCATTATTTCTCATTATCTCAGCAAATGACACCAACTGGATATAACCTTGATGGGCTAGGAAGCTAAGTAGGGACTCAGGCCTTGTTTATATTTGAACTTTGAAGGAATAGTTATATTGGACTTTGAAGGAATAGTTAGAGGCTAAGCTGGGAAATGAAAAAAACAACATGGAAGAGGCAGAGTCAGGCTCTGGTATAGACTGATGTTATGCTTACTGGTGTGTAATTCGTTTTGGCAATCATGTGTTGTTCCCCTGTGTTGTGTTCAATTGTATGTTATTTTAATTTTTCTAGATTTTTTTAGGTGTTGTATTGATTTTAACTGTATGCTGCTAAACCTGTGGTCTTATAAATTAAATTAATCAGATCAAATAAATAAAGTAGATTGCCTTATTGCTAAAAGGGACTATTTTGTTTTCCACAGTGCGCTTTTATCTCTTTCTTTCTCTTTCTTTCTCTCTCTCATTATTGTTATAGCCCAGCATTACTGGTACAGATTTGGATAAATTCCGAGAGATCCTGCTTCATCATTGTGATGTGAACAAGGATGGAAAAATTCAAAAATCTGAACTTGCCTTATGTCTGGGAATTAAAATTACCCCATAGGCATTAGTAGTATACTTTTCCTATGGTCTAACAGTTTTTTTTCTTTTGTGAAAACCTGTGAAAACATTTGTGAAACCTTTTTCAGAACTATGTAATAATCTGCTATATTAAACTTAGAAGATAAGCTCATAAAGGTTAAGGATATTCAGTTAGCAAGTATGTATTTGCAAGTATGTGTTCAGATAGAAAATGTGGTGAGTAGCAACTGGTTCTGTGTTGTTCAAAGCGAGATATTATCTCTCATAGTCTTATACATTTCTGATCAATTTGAAAGTTCTGTGATTGCTGCAACAAGAAAAGTTTCTGCTACAAGATTTTTTATTTTCCTTTAATATTTTCATTCCCTGGGCTGTGTCCTTCATAGTGTTCCCTTTGTTTTGTCCCTTCCTACTTTCAAGTAGGTAGTCCTCAACTTACAACCGTGACAGAACCTGCCCGTTAAAGACATAAGTTGCAACATTTATAAAGTGGGTTATCATGTGACCAATCCAATTTTACAACTTTTTTTGCCGCAGTCGCTAAGCAAATGCGGTTGTTAAGTGAACCCATTCTTGTTATGGGATATTTTTGCCCAAAACCACAAATAAATGTTAATTTTCAGCAAAAACATTGTAAATCATGGTCATGCGACTGTGGGACGCTGCAAACGGCCGTAAATGTGGTCTGCTTGTCGAGTGCCCAAAACATGGTGACTTGATTGTGAGGGAAGGCACTATGGAACTATGTCGTAACTTCAAATGATCGCTCAATGACCGGTTATAAGTTGAGGATTACCTGTATGGCCTTTGAAACTCACATTGGATTTTTTTTGTAAGAACTTTTACAGAAAAATAAAGCTCAACAGTTGATAACACAGAGTACAACTGGAATCTATATTATTTATTACATATCCATAAGTTCCTGGGTATCCTATGTGTGAAAATTCTTTGTATTTTTCATGCCCTATCGCCAAAGACAGGAGACAACATAGCTGGGAATTGGGAAGTATTGCCTTATATAGGTAGTCCTCGACTTACAACAGTTCATTTAGTGGCAGTTCAAAGTTACAACAGCACTGAAAATGTGTCTTATGACCATTTTTCAGTTACAACCGTTCCAGCATCCCCGTGGTTACGTGATCAAAATTCAGATGCTTGGCAACTGATTCGTATTTATGACTGTCTCAGTGTCCCAGGATCACGTGATCCCCTTTTGCGAACTTCTGACCAGCAAAATCAATGGGGAAGCCAGATTCACTTAACAACCAGGTTACTAACTTATTCACTGCAGTGATTCACTTAACAACTGAAGCAAGAAAAGTCGTAAAGTGGGGCAAAATTCACTTAACAAATGTCTCATTTAACAACAGAAATTTTAGGTTCAATTGTGGTCGTAAATTGAGGACTACCTGTAAATATTTATTTTTAAAAGCTATTTCATTTTCCTACCATTAAAAAGAATTCCAAAACTTTGTTTGGTTTATAACAGATATAAAGATAAATAAAAATAGCTAATATGCTCCTTAGTAATGGTTTTACTTCCATTTTGTTTATTCTGCCTCCAAATGCCTTCGCGTTGTAGAATATTATTTACATTCTAGCAAGTTTAGAAGATCAAAATGAATTGCTAATAGAGAGAAGGAGGCGGAATATTTGTATTTAATGTGCACTTATACCTAAGCAAAATTATACGAGGAAAAACAAAAGTCACAACACAGTTTTAATCAATATCAGCAATGTAGCTATTTAATAATCAGATTTTTTTTAAAAAAAATTCTCAGGGCTGTCATCATTTAAATTCCCAACAGGTTATTGCACTGAAAAAAAAAGTTCTTCCAAATTTATAAAGAACCTGAAAAAGGAACAAATTAACTTCCTCTTTAAACCTAAGGAGTTGCATACTTAGGAGAGCCATACCAAAGCTTTTCTTAACTGAAATACCAAATGCTCACAACACCAGGAAAAATGGGAAAAACTTAACAGTATTTTGTGCTTTCATACTATGGTTTGTTGTTCCTTTCCTATAATTAGCCAGCTGTACCTCTTTTTCTTTCTTCCATTTTTCATTGTTAGCCAAACATACCAGCTACAATTTTAAAAAAAAATCAGTATTGTTTGCTTAAGTACTTAATGGAACAAAATAAGGTCCATTTTCTTTGTATAGTGAGCTTTGTTAATGCTTCTTGAACAGAAGCAATGCCAACTAGAGAACCCACAGTTTACAAACACTGGTGCGCATCCCTTCAGAGCCAGTCTCTGATGTTCACTGATATAGATTTCTTTCTTGCATTAAAAATGTTATTGTAACTCAGGCTAGCCACTCAGTATTTTTCTCCCTTTCTGTACATATGTTATTAATGCACTTAACTATGGGCGTCTTTCACCATCAAAGCTGACACCAGACACAGCATAGAAAAACACAAAGTAGTAGTGCGAGATCGGAAGACGTGGAGAGACCAGGCCCACAGAATCACCAAGTCAGGCACAACTGAATGCATAACACCATCAGCATGATCACAATGGGCATCTTTAACATGTAGTTGTATGACATGTAATTTTTATAAATAGACTAGTTTCATGTGCAGAACCCAAGATCTTGACTATTGATATATGTGCTGGCTAAGAATCATAATACATGATTTTAACATAGTGATGAAATGCTTGCCTCCCTGTATTGCTTAGAACAGCGGTTCTCAACCTATGGGTCGCGACCCTATTTGGGGTCGATCGACCATTTCACGGGGGTCGCCAAGCAAGGCTGTCCGCCATTTTTTTTCCCTTTTCCGGCGGGTGCCTTACCTCCCTTGGGCTGGGCCAGCTGGTGGTCGGCCTGCTCCGTCTCTGCCGCTTGCCAGCTACGCCTCGGCCGACACAGGGGGCGGAACCACGCATGCGTGGCGCTCCCGGGCAGGGAAAGTCCTCGACTTACGACCGGTTGGGTAGTCCTCGACTTACAACCGGTTTAGTCCTCGACTTACGACTGGTTTAGTCGACTTACGACCGGTTTAGTCCTCGACTTACGACCGGTTGGGGGTCGCGGCATTAAAAAGGTTGAGAACCACTGGCTTAGAACAATATATCTTCAGAGGATACTGTAAAAGTAGGTATGTAAATTTTATCCCTGAATCAGACTTAACACATATTGAATGAATATAGAAGTCAGTCCAATTTCCAGTGGCAATTGCAGGAGCAATTCTGTGGCTCCTTCTAACTGACAGACCAAACTGAAATTGCTATTAGAATGCCACTTTTAGAAAAGAAAACTTATGATATTTTATTGGAAATGGTTCTGAATAATTTCTCAAAGCCTTTGGAGAAATTGCCACTAGTTTTAGACAATCAAGAACACCAAATTTCTGAAGGGAAAGGAGTGAGGGGGGGAATGAGAAAGCACATTAAAAAAATTATCTTGGTTTCCTTGGTAGCATGAATTTGCAATTCACAAAGGAAACTTAGCAAGGGAATAGAATGCAAACTGCTTTTTAGGTTGATCATCATTTTGGGAAAATGTTAACAGTAGTCCCTTTCTCCCCGTGATTTTGTTTATCGATTTCTCTCTATCTCCTTGTCCCATTATAGAGAAATAAAAGGGTTTTTTTTAATTTTTAAAGTTGGACCACGTTCCAAATTTCCATTCATTTTTGTATTGCTTTCAGATTTTCTAATCAAGCAAGCTTTCATGGCAACGTTGCTAACAGTTACAAAACTCAGCCAAAGCAAACTGGAATCCTGTTTTGGCTCTCTCCCTGTACCCATCATGGCACATTTTTATATTCTTCACAATTTGCCATCAGCTGCAGGTGCAGATGCAACTATTCCAGAAACAATGCTGGGATTATGCTAGTCATGCTGGCATAGAAGACCTTTTCTCCAGGTGTTGATTAACTCATACATTTCATTTCTGCAAGCCATATAGAGCATCTCATCCTTTAAATCCACCAAAGTGAATGCATTCACAGTAGGAACTGCTGGGGAGGGAGGGAGAGGGAGATGGAGAGAGAGAGAACATTGATATATAATTTCCAGTTTCTCTTCTGCTTTGTTATTTTCAATATTGGCAGTTACTGGACACAATATTGGACACAGTTATGAGGAAATCTGCCTTCTTCGATGCCCAATGTATATATTTGTAAATAAGCATTATAAAAATATAGTAAGTTTACAGTGACTCTTCACTAATGTTGAAGAAAAAGTCTTCATCATGGTTCAGTCCAAGCCGGGAATAAACAACATAGCGACTGCTTTAGAAAGAAGGTTGCAGTTTATTGAAGAGGAGAGCCAGACAGAAAGATGGCTCTGGAAGAAAAAAAGAGAGCACATGTAGGGAGCGGGTTTTTATACCCTCCGGAGCCTTTTGTTTGGAGTTGTTCCTATGGCATGAACTTTGACTTTAGTCTGAGTGTGCCCTTTGGCATTAATCCTATTATGTCCTGTCTTAGAGTTTGGGTGGGATGTTTAGATTTTAGGTATCTTTGTCTTCCTAAGCTTCTAGCTGGGGGCCGCCAACCTTCCTGGATTATTTACATCACCATTTCTACAGAGCTGGTTTCTGCTTGGGGGAGGGAGACTTGGGGCTATTAAGAAAACTGGGCATGCTTTCCTGCCTCTTTTAAGATTTTCTGAGGAAACATAATATTCTCCCTTTTTAATGTTTCCTTCTGGGGGGGGGTGACTTCCCACACTAAGGAACCTAAACCCGAGTCATTGCTCCATTTGGGGAGCAAGCATAGAAGTATTTTATGGATTGGTACAACCAGCTGAAGTCAATTTCTGCAAGAACGTTGAACCATCAAAATCGAGTCATATATCACAAGGCTAGCTCTTTCTCTTATTCATGCCTGCTAAAAAGAATTTTATAGATTGTACATTAGCCTTCACAATGCTGCTGTTGTTGTATTAATCTTGACCTACAAACTGAGCCACAGAAAAACTGATTTCATGACAGCTAGGTATTTCCCTCCTGTTTATTGCAAACTGAAGGTATTGCAATCCCCAGAGAATCTCTTTTATACCCGCAAATTC